ATTAGCTTTCATTAAGTATCATCATCATTCAATCAATCAATCAATATATTATTTGTTGTAGTCTAATACACGAAGAGACAAAATGTGCACTTTATGTGTATATATATACATAAAGTGCACATATACATAAGTGTACATGAGCGAGATTAGAATGGCTCTCCAGCACCTTAAAAACGGCAAGTCCCCGGGCGAGGATGGATTTACAGCGGATCTTCTGAAAGTGGGTGGAAAACCGATACTTAAAGTCCTTCAAAAGCTCTTCAATTCCGTCCTCCATGGTGGCACTACTTCAGAGGCGTGGTCTTGTTCTTCAAGAAAGGTAACAACGCTCTCTTGAAGTAAGTTTAGTTAGTTAGGGAGAAAGTTTCTAAGTCTCCGTGGTGACCATGTTAGACAGATGTCGATATATATTCCTGAATTCTTAACTTTATCACTACAAGGGATGTGAACTCCTTTGAGAAGAATAGGTTGTTTGAGAGAAAAGTCAACCCTAGCAACTAATCTCGAACTACCAATAACTATTGCTTGAGTTTTAGCGCGATTAATGGATAATCCATAAGATTTACGCCAGTCCAAAATACAAGCCAGATCAGCGTTTGTTGTACTCGTATCAATAGCTTTCGGTAAATCGTCCTGAGTAAATTGAGTGTAAATTTGGAGATCGTCAGCGTACAAGTGGTAAGAAGAAGAAAGTTGATTACAAATAGAATTTATAAGAAATACAAACAGAAGAGGAGTCAGCACGCCACCTTGTGGGACGCCGGCAACAGTAGATGTGTAAGAGGTATACACATTCTGCACTTGAATTGTTTCATTAAGCATCATTAATTATTTTTTGGAAGGAAGGTGCCCTAAGAGTAAACTATTTGCAGTCATAACTTATTCTCTACTAAATATTAGCCCACAGGGGTGACAACACATATGCATTTTGATTCTTAACTGAGCTGAGAGCTATGAGCCGCAGCATCCGTTTAGCATCAGGTGGACTGCGTGCTCGTTCGTCGCCTTTATTTTATTAAAAATGTCAAGTCGGTTGTTTGGTTCGATTGCAAAAATTCAGATGCATTGTCATCCCTGAGAACTAAGATGGAATGCCATGTTTCCAGTAAAAAGGATGTCCGGTTCTCTACACTCACCATACGAAACACACATTCATTAAGTTGCTATTTTACGCTGCTTTTCAATGAGAGCGTGGTCCCGGTAAAGCCCATCCATTCGTGCTACAACCAAAATATAGTTGCAGCGTGGCTCTACCACATACATTTTAGAACAATAATTCCCAACCAGTAGTCCGCAAAAGCTTAAATATGGTTCGCGAAAGATTTAAATACCTACCTACTTAATCGTTTTAAATAACACATTTGTTATTTTTAATAATCTATTAGCTTTTGCAATAAATACATAAATAATACAGTTAATAAATTCTTCTTTTCAGTGTATTACAATTGTGGCCTTGGTAGGAAAAGGGGAGATCTCCCGCCGGGCAAGGTGTTCTGCCCGGGGAGCGGCCGACACTCCGAGTGATAGTTCGGAGAAGTTCTATATATACTGTCTATGATTCGGAATGTTAATAGCGCGATTTAGGCTTTGGTGTGTCTCGGTGTGCTAGTGGCGCGACGACAGCGCCGCTACATCACCCCCCTGCTCAGACCGGAGGTCGATAGTGCAGCCTCGTTGACGACGAATGTGCAAGTGCCAGGAGATTGCCTTGTAGTCTGCGGTGAGTCGAGCAGAAGGCAAGTAATCTGCGATAGTGCCGTGCAGCAGAGGCGAGCAGTAAGGCTCAGAGCTATGCTGAACACTGTATGGCGCAGAGAGTAGCTTGAAGGAACAGGAAGCATTATTATTCCAGTGCTGCGATGAACCTTGTGAAGCTAGATGGCTTGCAGGATATGAAGACTGCAGACGATATCTACTCGGGAGCGAATGGGTGGGGTATTCTATGACGATGATGAAGCTTGAAGTTTCCGAAGGTTGTTTGGTTGCGTGTTCAGATCACGTCGGATGGTTACCACTGTGGCGATGGAAGGAAAAGGGGGGAGATCTCCCGCCGGGCAAGGTGTTCTGCCCGGGGAGCGGCCGACACTCCGAGTGATAGTTCGGAGAAGTTCTATATATACTGTCTATGATTCGGAATGTTAATAGCGCGATTTAGGCTTTGGTGTGTCTCGGTGTGCTAGTGGCGCGACGACAGCGCCGCTACACAATAATGTTTAAAGTTGTTATTATAATTTCTTGTTAGATCAACGTATTTTTTTTCTTTCACCTTATGGTGCCTGCTAGCAACAAAAAAGTCAAAGTGTAGCTGCTCAAAAAAAAAAGGTTGGGGAGCCCTGCATTGCAACATGAAATTAATATTGTAAGTCGTAAGCGAATATAAAATTGCGCAAATGTGATTGGCTGATACGGTGTATGTATAGCAACGAAATTTACTTTCTATAGTTTTTTTTTTCATTACATAAACTCAAAAACGAAAATTTATATGACGTAACAAAATATTTCAATTCGGGCCTTACCATATGACCTGTTTGATAAGTAGCCACTAACAATATATCGCAGTCTCAGAAGACAAGTGTTTTGAAGAGTCAATTGCTTCAATCATTTTAATTTTTTTATTACTCGAAACAATGCTATTGCTACTCTGTAGTTTTCAAAATACTTACATAATAAATATAAGGAATAAAGTGTTTAGTTATAAATATATTTTATCCATGCGCCCGTGTAGCGACGGGCAAGAATATCCACTATCAGATATCTTTTTGTGGATATCGCAGGAGGCGACAAAGAGACGGGCCCCTGTCCCTGGCGTCTCCGCTATTCCTTGTTACGGTGACGACCATGGTAACGGCGAAGCAAGGTGTGCTAACAATCTACGGTGGAGGTTCGGTTGCCACCTAAGACAAATCGACCTAGCAACATATACCCTAACGCATGCACCCTGACGACTGACGAAAAGACCCCGGAGATGTAAGTAGAGATAGACAAGTTGCGATGGGATATTATAGGATTATCTGAGGTCCAAAGAGAGAGGAAGGACACGGTAATCCTCGAATCCGGCAACTTGTTCTGTCCCAAGGAGGTGTCGGATTTATCGTCCACAAGTCTCTCATTCAATGAATTATATGGCCGGCCTATTGCCACTTTAGCTTACTAATCCGTGGCTATATAGCTCGTAGAACTGACAGCCGATGGGAAAGATAGAAAGGCCCTTCGTGTAGAACAGACCCGAGGTGGCCTTACCGAGTGGGCTTGGCGAGCCCACTTCGGATGTATATTGGTGGGCTGCGGCGGAAGAGGTGTCTTCTCCCCCTACCGCTTCAGTTGAGGTGGAGTCATGGGGAAAAGGAGTGTTGGTATGGCGATGCCCCACTCGCTTTATCCTCCGCGACTCAAACGGAACCGCACCGTTGATGCGGTGGTGGAGGGGCTGCGGGGGATGAGGAGTGACGGTATTGCGAGGCGCCGCTCTCCCTACCCTCCGCGGCCGGACCATGCCTTACGGCATTCTTTGGGGGAAGACCTTTGTTCAGCAATGAACTTGTGAAGGGCTTTAATGATTATAATGATGATATGATACATATTATGGATATCATAAATATATTATTTAAAGGGAATATTTTTAATAATTAATAAGATATTATGAAACCTGAATCTGCGTTAAAATTTCATCATAATTATAACCCAACATTACAACTTCAAAATAAATTGAGGAAGTAAGTAACGAATTATAATGTTTAAGTGATAAAATGCTGACCTTCTTTTTTAACAATCAAACAACTTAATCATTATTACAAAAATAGACATCACAATAATTATACAGTTACTACCAAATAATCTGCGGGTCACCACGCTACTTGCCTACTTCTATGGCCAATCAAGAAATACCTACGTGCGACAGCAGATCAACACTATGAAAATGTAGGACGTAAGCGAGAATCACTGAAATTGTTTATTAACAATGTAAAGTAGAGCTGGGTACTAATTTACAACGTACTCGGCAGTAAAACAAAACTCTCCTGCTTTCAAATAGTCACTTTCGACTGCAATCTCCTATCATTCACAGAGTTTGTTGCTGAAGTCGAAATTTCAAGAACGGAATTGTTCACAGCAAAAATGTTTTGCCTTGCATCCCGTGTGTTGTACACCGTATCGCGTGACGTTACGTATAATAAGGATAAAAGTAAGAACATATAAATATATTAACATAAATCTTAATCTGCGACATGGTGAAAAAAGGTATCTTAACATGATCAGAACAAAAATTAATAGAAATTGATTGAAAAATGAAGCCCCTTAATTTTTCAGCAAAGTAGATATTATGAATCTCCGATATATTTAATAAAATTTGAAAGTTGTTATTAAAAATATTTTAATCTCTTATCTGTGACCAATAATAAATGAAAAATCTACAGTAATAACTTTTTAAGAGCATGAGTAGATGAATAAAACTTCAAGCAACGTGTTTATTTCAAAGGTTTAATTACGTTTATGTAACTCTACGTAGGTAATTAAATAATTTTTATGCTTGATTTTACAATCTAAGCATGATTCTGTAACCTCGCTAAAAGTAATTATTTTTTATTATTATATATTATTTATTTTTGGAAGAGTCACAACCACCGCATCGGCCAGATGTTTTTTTGTATTTTATTAAAATAAAATAATCTGTGGACTTTTCTAATATTACATATTCCAAAAATATGTTATAACAAAAGCATTTCCTAGTTTTAGTTAATGCACTAACAAAATTAAATTTTTAAAATTCATAAGTTAAATGTTACATACAAAATTTCATTTAATATAAAAAAATAAATACACAAGAGAAAAAAACGTTTTGCCGCCAATACTTAAGTATATATCACATATACATAACATAGAAGAACTAAAATGTGCATCAAATATTTATCTACACAAGAATCAAAATTGCATAATCTCTCCAACAGTCAGTGTAAATGAACAGTCGTTTGTCTTAAATTATATTACAAATTGCATATACTCACGAGATTAAATGTTTTCGAAATACACAGCCTACTCCGGTATCTGGCGAATTTTACGTCAGTTTTTTTTACACACAAGTCGTCAATTATTTATTGGTTAATTTATTATGTACATAATACTAATAATTATTTACCGTTGTTTTTTTAATATATTTTACACTTAAACAGCTTGGCTATTAGACCACATTTTATGTACCTATTTTATTAGTGTTGTTTCGTTGACTCTACATTCTTGAAATACTAATCGTAAGAACTAAACTAAAGTAATATGTACTTTAAAATAATACGTTTTAAAGATAATAGTTAAACACAGTGAGCTATGAGTATGCACAGACCAGCTTCCCGGTATGACGCAAGCGAACTGCTAGGTTAAGGATTAAGGTTATGTCGATTGTCGAATGCAAAAGAACTGTCAACCTAACGTCACAACTTCTTCGTGTTAGGTTAAGCATATAGTACAGTTTATATTTCCATGATTATTATGAAGGATGTCTTTTGGTATTCATTAAAAAGATATTTTTATTAAGATTCAAAAATGATATTCAATAAAAAAAAATTATTTTTTGTAGAGTCGGAATACAAAAAGGACTTTGTAATATATTTGTTAATAATATTAAGTATTTTGTTATTTTATATTATTGTATTGTTACAACGGAAAAAATATGAAATATTTTAATCACCTAGAAGTAGCTATATTATATTACTTGTCTTTACACGATTGTCGTGCTATCGGCTTTCGTTTTTAATCTGCAGGTGCTCTAACTGTATATCTCTATGCTCTATAACTTCAAACAACTCTACTGAGCTCTACTTACTGCTCCCAACAATGACCTCAATATAAGTCGATGTTAAGCGAGTAACATATTTTTCTGCTTTCCAAATATCTATTAGAAAACAAAATTTTTATTGTATTAATAATAATTGTAACTATAATTTACTATTCATTAGTAGAATAGGTATGAATACCCGTCCTAGAATAATTTTATCGTAAATTGGTAAGAGTGACATCTACCGGAACATGTATGTAGCTTTTATGAAATCGTATAATTTTCGTTTTTTCGTTCTTAACGTGGTAGAGCCACGTTGAAGCTGAAGCTGGTTAGCACAAAATACGGATATAAAATATAATACTGTCCCCTTTTTTGTGATATAATGAGTGTGAGGTTATTAGATTTTTTCTGTGAAAATTTGTCGGTAATACCTGTCCTAGAATAATTTTATCGTAAATTTTAAGGAGCGACATCTACCGGAACGTGTGTGTAGTTTTTCTTCAAATTATTTTGCGATTTCAGTAAGAGTTCCGTCAAAATCACAAAGCCTTTAAGTAAACCGAAAGTTAAAATATAGAGATTTCATAATCCTTTAAATTGTCATTCTATTATTACTTTACTCACTGACAAAATTTTGTCAGTATCTACTTTAAAAATTTAGAGTAGGTAGTATTTTAACAAGTTTCCTAAAAATTATGCTTTGTATTAGGTGTGTAGCAAAGATGTTTTAAAAAATCTGGTGTGTAGGTTACGGAATATTTTAGTTATATCTATCAGAATATAAATAAACAGTTAATGTGTTATTTTTAATGTGGTGTGATGACGATTTTGAGTATTTTGATGAAATACAGCTGTAAGCAGACAACCGAATACGATAAAATAACTTGGGGCTTAAATCACCGTAGCAATTGTGTCATCATTTTCACTAATAACTCACATGCGCAGCTATCGCTTTTATATTTCAAAATCCTCTTCAAACTATTTTTAAATGATAATAAAAAACAAACTATTAACTTAACTATTAATAAATTTATGTTGAGGTTTATAATATAATACTGCCCTCTTTTTTGTAATATAATGAGTGTGACGTTATTAAACTTTTACTGTGAGAATTTGGCGGTGATTCTCTCGTATTTATAGAGATTTGTCGAGTTAATAATTTTCACGCTATGATTTAATATGACTATACCTAGTAATTTACAGAATCCAAAAGAGGACAAGAAATCTTTGAAAATGAAGGAAAGACAAGTCAGTCACCCATCGCTGTCACTCAAAAAGTTTTTGAAGCAGTCTAAAAACTTATTCGGAAAAACCGACTACTGAAGCTAGAACTGATTATTGAGACAGCAGCAACTTTGGGTATGTTTCGAAACGTTTCCAGTATACTGGCGAATGCAAATGACGTCATTAATTGACGGCATATTCCACCATATACGATATAACGAATCACCTTCCTATATATAAAAAAGTACTCCGTGGAATCACCACAATGACTTCGATTTATAACGTCATTTGCATTGGCCAGTGTACTGGGTTGTATTTCGGAACATACCCGTAATGTATTGTTGTTCACTATCGTTTTACCAAAATCCACAGAGATGTGGATTTTGTTGAAACGATATAAATGTAATCCCGAAATAAAACGACAATTGAATCTATGCTCTTTTAAGATTAGCCTATCCAACTATTTAATTTTAATATCCAATTTTTTGAGCGCCCTACCAGCATAAAATAGCAACCAAACGCTGCTGTATTTTGTATGATGAGTAACGAAAACTAAGTCCTTAACTGGTACCAGGCATTTCATGTTAGTCCTCAGAGTTAAGAATGAATCTGTATTATGATTCTTTATCAAAGATTTATTATGTACTAACCGTGCGGCTAAAGAATGGGATTGAAATTGGAGTCGCCTCTATTCACCTCTCGCTCGCACGCATTCGCTACCTATACTCACACGGCTCACACCCGCCTGTAAATGCGTTTTTCGTACGTTCTATTACTTTAGTCCAACTTGTCATTGGAATCAATGATAACAAAATGCTATAAACAAAAAAATCAGTCCGCTTTCGCTAACTTGTGAGCTACGATGCATTCGGAGAGTTCTAAAATTTTTGATTATCTGTCTATCCAAGCTATTCTTCTGAATGGCTGAACCGATTGTAATAAAACTTCACGAACAAATATAGAGTAATAGCAGGAGTGATCTAGACTAAATTTTATAGGAAAAATTTTGAATTTTTATTACGTACGTAACTTACGTATGTACTTCATATTAAAATTGAAATATTGATATGATAAAATAAATAATATTACTTAACGATTATCTTCAATTAGATCCCAGTCAGGTGAAGCCGATGATTCACCATTTCGTGTGCTCTTACTTTTAAAAAGCAATCCTTCATATCAAAGTTTTTGTAAGATATTTCAAAATTGTTACTAACCATATTTTAGGATATCATTGCAACATTGAAATTCAGGCAGGTGGGTATAACAGTCTTAAACTTAACATACTTCACATAGTTTCATGGGATACCTTCAAACTACGCCATATTAGTCTAACTTGCTGTACCTTTAAGCCATGAAATGCTGCACGTATCATTTTAGGACTATTACTACCCTTCAAGGCGAGTCGCTTCGTTTTAGGTATGTGTGTTGACTCCTTTAAACCATATAAGACAAGCGGGGAGGATGGAATAATTCCCATCCAAGTCCAGAGGGATGATGTGGCAGTGTCACGCTAGGTTATGCTGCTGACCTCGTGATCATTGCGAGGGGCTTTTGTCAAAGTACTTTATCATTATAGTACTTTATTGTTCTCAAGTGGCAGCCTCGTACCGGTAGGCGAAGTGTGGGGCGGGCCTCCACTACTAGATGGAGTAACGACCTGGTAAGAGGTGCAAGGAATTGATGGATGCAGGTTACTCAGGACCGTGCTTTGTGGTATGCTTTGGTGGAGGCCTACGTTCAGCAATGGACTTGTAAAGGGCTGTAATGATGATGATGGTGATGATCAGGTATTTATTCGTTTATTATATACAATCAAATGTCCATCGCTGAACATGTGACGGCAAAAACAGTTTTTTTATAATTTTGAGTTGTTATCAGGTAGATACTGCTCTCCATCGCCAGTTTTATTTCCCTCGGACGCCATTTACGACACCCTTGACATAAAATGGCTTTTCTCACATTGAATTATTTTGTTAGAAAGCAATTAATTACTAATATACTTGAACAAAGCCTTCTGGAACTTTGAAAAGAAAAGGAAGAATCTACATAGGAATTGTCCTCTTTAGATTCTTCCTTTTCTTTCTAAGAATATTGATTCGAAAAAACTACCAATATTTTTTTGGGCAAAGGGATTTAGTCTTCCTTCCATGTGGAAGAAAAGTATAGAGTGGGTATGAAGAAATTTAAAACTTATAAAGCGGTTGTTAAATTGAAGCAAGGGTATGATTTTTACAACAGAGGTAATATCTACGTATGTGTTCTACCATCACAATCTGTAAATTGTCTAAATACAATATAGGATTGTCTAAATTTTTAAACGAAGAACATTAATTAAGTATTGTTGTTTTTGATGTAATATCCATACAAGAAACAGAAGAAACATGATTTAGATCTTTGCTATGTACTTTTTTATAGATATGGCGACGCTGTAAATCTCTATTCATCATGTTCTATTGTTCCTGTAGAAGTTTGTATTTCACCTAAATCGTGTCATTCGTAAAAGTCACTTGTACTTCGAATTTTAATTATTCTTTTTATATTTTCAACCTACAGCAGGAGGATAACGTATTCAAAATGGACCAATAGGAGCAGTACATATACATCATAAACAGTAAAGTAAAAAAGTAAAGTTACAGCCTATATACGTCCCAATGCTGAGCACAGGCTTCCTCTAATTTCTGAGAGGGTTTTAGAGCAATTAAATTGTCCGTCGCGTAGCTCCAATGCGTGTTGGCGAACCTTCTTCCTTTTTTTGCGCCCGAAGCAAACCTATGCGGCTACCCTATGCGTAGGGAGGCGGAAAATGCATTACGCGTACCACGATAGCCGGTCTATCGTGGTTATGAGGGACTCACATACAACCGGGGAACCTAAGTGATACGCTCTAAAAACTGCCTTTAGGGACAGGCAACTGGCTGATTAAGCTTTATTGTGCCTTATCGTGAGCGACCCTCTTTTGGGAAAAGAGGGCGCAGGCCTTCTTCCCTTAATGATTTCTTATATATACGCGAACACTACACATTTAAATAAAATTAGTTTTTATATTACCGACGTTTCAAGCACTGTACAGCACACGTGGTT